CCCCACCCCACACACACACACACACGCCCCGGGCCACTGTCTACTTAACCCAACTCTAGTTAAGTAGGAAGAACTTCAACCCCGCTCTTCTTCCCCAAGTCTCCCCTTCTCTCTTTATATATTCACCCTTCATTTTGCCTTTTAACCTTGTTTTCTCTGTCACTCTCCGTGTCAACTCGTTCCCAGTAAATTTTATTCATGCCCTCCTCATAAGTGATAAGAAAAATTGATAACTTAAAAAGTAAAGGAGATGAGTTGCAGTGGATGCCGAGTTCTCAGAAAGGGATGCAGTGAGAACTGTATTCTAAGGCCTTGTTTGGAGTGGATTGAAACTAGTGATGCCCAAAGCAACGCCACTGTTTTTGTAGCCAAGTTCTTCGGCCGTGCTGGCCTTATGTCATCTATTTCCTCTGTCCCCGATAACCAAAGGCCAGGTAATTTTACTGGAGTTTCGTCAGAATTTGAAGAAGACATTTTGTAAATGAAAATGAAATTGTGCGTATGCAGATGTTTTTCAGTCGTTGTTATTTGAAGCTGCTGGAAGAACAGTAAATCCGGTGAATGGAGCTTTGGGACTTTTATGGACGGGAAACTGGCACGTCTGTCAGGCTGCAGTGGAGACCGTCCTACAAGGCGGCGTACTGCGGCCGATCCCAGAGTTTCTCAGTGACTCATCATCGGAGCATGATAATATCTCAGAGTGCACCGACATGTTCAAGCTCCAGCAATCCAAGCTAAATTCCCCGCCAAAGGTGCAAAAGCGCCGCCGCGGCTTGCCGGATGAACCTTCTAAGATTATGCAATTAACTGATCTTGATCTCAGCTTAATGCCTAATTTTCAGAGTGAAAAAGGAATCCCTACACAGGAAACTGATCGGCGACTTGGGAGCCCATCAATGAATTCTGAAGAATCTGTGATAACTACTTTTGGAGACCAGCAATCTCACGAAACAAAGCTTCTCAACTTGTTCAATTAGTTCTTAATTATATCAAACATCCCTGTGAAAAAGCTGTAACAATCTTGTTATGGGCTTTAGCCTTTGTTTATTTTGATCTCCGGCGGGTTTTGTAAATTATTGGCACAAGATTTCCCTCATTTTCTTCTTGATTATGCGTGGAGAAACAGGAGGGGAAAATGAAAGTTTGCCAATGATTTTCTCTCTTTCTTGAATAAATCATTTGATTTTATCTTTTCTTTACCTTTTGGTACTGCTATGTCCATCTATGTTCAGTGATAGTAATAAATCGAAATAGTACTTTTCTCATCAGTCTCATAGTTTTGCAAAGAACCATCCTGTGCGTGGGGTCATCCCCACGGTCACCGGCTTGAGTCGTTTAGCATTATTCTTTTGCAAATCATCTAAGACCCTATTCCTTGACCTGTTGCTCCAACTCACAAATTTTGTAGGTACTTTACCTAGTGCAAGATCAAAATTTCGGTCTTGACCTCCAATTGTTTTAAGAACATGCCATTGAGATAGTAACACGAGCAGGTATGAGATAGAGAGAGGGGGTGCTATCGATGTAGCATGCTCCTTCTTCACCAAACACGAAAATTCAGAAGTAATTACAAGGTGTCCTTTTAGAAGGAAAAAACAAATCAATTTACCTTAGAAATTTTTGTCGATGAATTATTGGATACAAGAAAGTACAATGTTGTGTCATATAGA